CTCAGGCTGGTCTCGAACTCCTGAGCTCAAACAATCCGCCCGCCTGGGCCTCCCAGAGTGCTAGGATTACAGGCGTGAGCCACCGCACCCAGCCTAGTACTTACCTTCTAATTGTCTAACTTACAATACAGAGCAAATATCTTTATGACCTGGCAAATTGTCATATTCCTTTTTAAATTTGTATCACCTTCCAACATTTTACCTTTGGCACTTTCAATGTCATGCTGTATCTCCAAAGTTTCCTTTAATGTGAAAATTTTTACCAATGTCACTTCTTCTGGGACGTCCTTGTCCTTTTCTTCATGACAACCTTCTTCATTTATACCAATAAGGGTGCCTTCACTAAGTTCCTCTGGCTACATATCTAGAGTCTCTGGAATGGCAACAGTGTCTGCATTTCCAGGTCAGTTCTTTTTTCTATAATTTCTTTTTATGTTTGATTTGAATGTCACTTCTAGCCTTACCACTTTTCATTTTTTTAATGCACGTTCATCTTTGTTGACCAGTTCCTCTTTTGATTATCCATTTTTATAAAGTGTCACATGGATTTTTCACTGGAAGACAAGGAAGCAGCACAAGCATATGCTTTGCTGTCTGTGTGTGCATGTGCTGAATAACCAATCACTGACATACTTTGAAAGAAACAACAGCATTGGTCAATGAATGCAGTGAGCATCTGTTACAAATCTAGTGATTTGTAGACTAAAGAGCTAACAGAATATCAGTATGTAAGTTTGTACTTTATGCAATTATTCATAGTTAATATACCCTGGAAACTGAAATTCAAACACTGTTGTTGGGGAACTGGTGTTTTGTTTGGGGGGGTTTTGTTTTTTGAGACAGTCTTGCTCTGTTGCCCCAGCTAGAGTGCAGTGGCGTCATCATAGCTCACTGCAACCTCAAATTCCTTGGCTCAAGTGAGTCTCCTGCCTCAGCCTCTCAAGTAGCTGGGACTACAGGCATGCGCCACTGCGCCTGGTGAACTTTTCCATTTTAGTAGAGATGGGGTCTTGCTCTTACTCAGGCTGGTCTCAAACTCCTAAGCTTAAGTAATCCTCCCACCTCAGCTCCCAGAGTGCCAAGATTACAGGAACTGGTTTTTATTTAACTAAACTGTGATAATGAAATATATGTATATAAGAACTACATGATGCAAGGACTCCCTCTGTTTTGGAATATGTAGTCTTAAAATTAAGTTACTTCAAAAATTCTAATCAGAAACACTATTTACTGCATCCTGTTTTAAAGGAAATAATGTCAGAGTTTTAGATACTCCATATCTTCTTTAAAAAGTTCTAAGTGGCTCCATCTTCAAAAATTTGTCTGGAGTTAGTACTAGCCAAAGGAAATGAATTAACTTTTAACTAAATAGTGAGTAGATGTTTGAACTTTATGAAAGTTACATAACTAAAAGATATATATGAATTAAAGATCTAGTCTTAATTGTTTTTACCAAAACCATAAGCATTTATATGTATTAAAAAGATATATTTGTTTTTAGCAAGCATTGGCTATCTTATTAGATATTGGCATCTTTACTAGTGAATTATTGGGAAAAAGGATTCAATATTCTTAGGATGTTGATTCTGAAGTTTTGAATTGGTCACACAACTATTAATATATATTAAAGTGCTTAGACACTTCTGGGCTAGAATACTGTCTACTATAGCTCATATTTTTCATTCAAATGTGTAATTTTTAAATTTTTTTACAACTGCATCGCTATATATATATACACATATTAATATAAACACACAGATAATGATCTATACCTTTTGTTGTTAGTGGGAATATTAATAATTTATTTCTGATTTATGTATTTGGTTTATTTTTTTCTTACATAATTTATAGCCATTCTTTCCTACTATTAAAAGTAATTAAACATTGTCTAGTTCACCATACACATTTGTTGGAGGAGAGCTAGCATAACTAAGTTTCTTCTCCCCTTTTTAGGTATCTCGCAATGCCATCAAAATCCCAAAATGGCTGCCTCTGTCAGAAATGCACCCTGTAGATTATTACTCTTCTTATACAAAAAACTGCACTGGAAAGTTTACAGAAAAAGAAATTAAGAATATTAGAGCATTTTATTATGCTATGTGTGCTGAGACAGATGCCATGCTTGGTAGGTGGTATAAATTATTAAGCAATTACATGAAGAAAAAGTGTAATATTTTTCCAACAAACTATGATCATGCTGGTGGATGACTTGCGTGAACATCCTCAGATATTTCTCACAACAGTTGTTTTGATATATAAGGCTTAGAACTATAAGAATCTTGACATATATAAAAATTGGATATCTTGCATTATTAATAGAATAAAAAGCTTTCCTATCTTAATTATTGATAAAGTCTCAGACTCATTAATGCTCATATTTGTTCATACATAAATAAGGATGCTAGGAGGCTATCATCTGCTTTTACAAAACTTCTTACCAGCCTCAAACAGGAATCAGTATCTGGCCAAACACAGGTACACGTGTAACAGGTAATTCTAAGACAGCTTAAGTTCTGAGAGATGAGAAAGGTTACTTATAGAAAATCTTGTGATTTCTTCCAGTCTTGTAATAATTACAAAATAAATCCATTCTCCCCAGGCCCTTTAGAGCAAGGCTTAACTAAAGCTGAAATCAGTTTACTCATGTACATTCTGGTCCAAAATCATTTTGAATTTCCTTTCTTTATTCAGCTCAAGGCCAACTCAAAATCAAACCTGCCTTCATAAGATGATTGTCAAGAGAGTGTTACTCCTGTTCACTTTTCGTGTTAAAACCCTGGTTTTATAATATATCCATTTTTATAACAAAAGTTATTTTCATAAAGTCATGTCATTTATTTTGCTGAAGTTGGAACGGAGTATAATTGTGTTAGTGAAGTGTGGGTAGCATCTCTTCTATAAAGAGTAAACCTTGGGGGTGACAAGTGAATGGTTATTTGTTTAAAAGCATTCATTGGGTAAAAATAGAAAAGTATATTTTTCTATTTTCTATACTTTATAGCAGAAAACAAAAAAGCCATATGGATAAATTATTAATATTTATAATATAGCAAGAATAAAATGTAGGAATCATAGGACTTTCCAAATAATCTTAATGTAAATAAGATTTTAAGTAAGTTTCTTTAGTCATGAGTCCATATATGTGTTGAGTTGTATTTCGTGGATATTTTCTGATGCAAATGTTCACCCATTTGCACCTTAGAAATCACATTTGAAAGTTTACAGCCATCCGTTCATCCACATCTGCTAAAGTGAAATATAATGTTGCTGCATGGAGTGTGGGACTACTACTCTTGAAGTCCGTTCAGAGGGAAAAAAAATGCAGCAGCTTTCTTGCTTCAAGTTACAAAGTTTATGGAATATATGGTATCTTCATTTTTAAATCTACGCTGGTCTTGTCACCAAATAATATTTATTACTGTTCATTGTGTTTGTTACCAAGCGTGTAGTATCTCTTAGCTATCAGGCACTATGTTGGGCACTGGGGGTAGTACATTGAATACTATTAAGAAATCACACATTAATTAAAGACACTGTTAGGTCTTTCCTCATCTTAGGGCCTTTGTATTTTCTTCTCCCTCTGCCTGGCATGCCCTTCCCTTTGCTTTTTACATGGCTGGCTTATTCTCAGTCTTTGGCTCTCAGCTTGGATATTATCCTCAGGGATGTTTTCCTCAACCACTCGAAGTTAGTATACCAGCCCCATCATTCTGCTTACTCTGTATCTTGTCATGTTATTTAACATCATAATATTAATATTAATACTTGTTTACTATTAGTATCTGTCTTTTTTGAAGAACACAAGTTTCATGAGGGCAGGGACATTCAGTCTTATTCAGCATTGCATCCTAGGTGCTTAGCATTGTATCCACAGTGCCTAGCACGTAGTAAGCACTCAGTAAACATTTATTGAATGAGCATAAATGCCAGGAATCACAATATATTGTTGTAATTACAGTAAAATACAAGTTGTAGGAGTCTTGGAGAATGAAGTGATTCACTCTCCCTGGAGGAACAGGGAGTGATGCTTCATCAGAGATCCTGAGCCATAAAGGAGGAATGGGAACTTGTCAAGTAGATGGTGGGGAGAAAGAGTATTCGCCATGGAGGGCAGAGTATGTGCAGGGGCAAGGAAGTGTAAACCAATATGGTGTGTTCAGGGGATTCTGAGTAGCTTAGTGTGCTAAAAGGTAAAGGTCTACCAGGTAGCTGAGGGTGCTGAGGTTGGAGAGTGGACAGGGGCCTTGCTTGTCATGCTAAAGAATTAAGACAGTGGATAGCTGTGAAAAGTTTTAAGCAGGGATGTGACATAATAAAGCAATGAGGTATTTTAGAAGGATTGCCAGCAAGGAGGTACAAGGGATACCATGGAGAGGAAAGAGGAGTGGAGACAAGACTGATAAGGAAATAATTCTAGTTGTCCGGATGAAATATCTGGAGGGTCTCAACACTGTGGATAACTCCATAGAGCAGTCTCAATTCTCACTGAACTTAGAAGTGAGTCTCACTTAGAAGTGAGTCTCAATTCTCACTGAACTTAGAATCAGTGGGATTTTAAATAATATAGACCCCTGAACCCCAGATTCAGCAACTGCCAAAGTGGGGATGACTCCTCTTTCTGTACTATGCATTATTGTGATTCTCTTAATTACAGTGAGGAGGAAGTTTCAGAACACTAAGAGGGACTGATGATAGGAATTTTACTGTCCAGTTATTCCCTATCCAAGAATAATGCTAAATGATACTTGTGTACTATCTGTACTGCCTCCAGCCCTTCTTCAGAGGAAGGATTTCCATAACCCTCGGCCAATCTCATGAGAATGATCTGGCAATTGCTCAGGGGATTGGGAGAAAAAGTAGCAAAGAAGAAGAGTTCTGACCGCTCTATCACCTCTTGTTGCACAGAAATTGTGGGTCAGTGGTGACATCAATCTTTTCATCATCTGTGACGTGTACAGTGCTAACATCCAACTTGTCTTTCTCACTTGAGACACTAAAGGCAAGACTTTTTTCCCCCATTCTCTAATAGAAACCTAGAAAGCAAGCCAGCATGATTTCCAGATAAAGAAGCTTTGAGCAAAAGTTCCTATAGATATTATATTTTCTCCTTCCTCTCTCTAGTTTGTTAATTGAGAATCAAGTATTAAATATATGGAACTTGGTATGACTTACTTAAGATCGGTACATAATATTCAGGTGTTAAGAACCATACTGACAAACTTTTAAAGTGTAGAGTTGTTATTAATATAAACTTAGTGTGATACAATAAGACATGAACTAAAAGCCAATTAATAGATTTATCTTGATTTCTATTGTAGGTGAAATTATTTTGGCTCTTCGCCAGTTAGATCTTCTTCAAAAAACCATTGTCATATACTCCTCAGACCATGGAGAGCTGGCCATGGAACATCGACAGTTTTATAAAATGAGTATGTATGAAGCTAGTGCCCATGTTCCACTTTTGATAATGGGACCAGGAATTAAGGCCAACCAACAAGTATCAAATGTGGTTTCTCTTGTGGATATTTACCCTACTATGCTTGGTAAGTAATGCAGTTCTGTAAATATTTATTTGTAATAATACTGGAGAATTGAACAAGCAAAATAGTCAGAGGTCCTGCTGACTTGTTTATAACCCTGAGCAATTCATTTAACTATGAGTCAAATCTGTACTCTGAAAAATGAGGGTAGTATTTCTCATGTTCCTGTGGACTTCACTTACTGTAGTCATTTTCCCTTCAAAAGATTCATAATCAGGATATGACTGTGAAGTAAGCCGCGTAAGATATTCAGGTTCATAACTTTATGATTTGTACATCATCTGATTCTCTACCACCACCTCTCTAAAATATAAGCACTTCCTTTCTGGATTATTCTACCTACTTTGAAACTACTAAGTGTGAGCATATTTCTCATCAGACTCTGTAGATAGTTCTGTATTATTTGCTTTACTAGCTTTTTAATGTCTGTGAGCACAGCCATAGGTCTAGAAAAGCAACATTTGGATAGGGATAGTTAGCAGTTTATGTTGAAGATGCTAGACTAACTACATCATCAAATTCAAAAGAAATTATATAGAACTGTTAGTTTCTATCTAATTTAGCAGATCACTTTAAATTCATTAGAATTTAAACGCTGTAATTCCTCTGTTCTAAGGCACCATCACTTGTAAAAAGCACCATCAATTCATAAATTTTGATGAAAGGAGAAGATAACACAACAAGATATACATATATGTGTGTGTATTCTCTAATTTCGGAAATGTTAAAATGTGAAACAAACACTCATCTTAAAATCAAAGAAACGAGTTCTTTTTATCTCCTTCCTTCTGCTACAAAGCCTTTCCCTTCATTTAACTAAATTTGTTTAAAGCTAATTTAAATCAGTGCCCTTTCCCATTCTCTTTTATTTTGTACCACTTCTCCTGTATTTGAGCACACTTCTTTGTTCTTTGAATTTTTAATCGCTTCAGTTTCTTAGTCATCGTTTGCTGGTTTCCCTTTGTCCCAAAGCCGTTATCACACTTAGCCATATCATGGCCATTTTCTGGCTCCATCAGTTTCATCGTTGCTGTTTTTTTAAGAACTTCATGTGTAATCACGTGTATTTGTGTCTTTGTTTTCTCATCTTTTGAGTTTTATGAATATATGCTTATTTATGTTGGCTTCTCTGTACAGTTTCCTTCCCCAATTTTTCTTCATGTAGAACTTCCCCCACCCTCCCCATTCCAAAAGAAAATCCTCCTTGGGTCATCATATTTGTTTGACTTTTTAGCCTTGTTCTGTTTTCTTGAGGTACAGTGCCCAGAACTGCAAAAAGTACTATAAAAGATTATGGAAAGTTGGATTGATTCTTTCTCAGTTTTTCCTGCAATATATTTCATAATGATATTTGGCATTTTGTTTGTCTTTTTGACTGTAGCAGCTAAATAGTCCAGTACCTTTAGAGACCTGTCTGCTACAGTGAGTCCTGTTTTATTCCTAGACATTCTGTTACCTTATATGTTAGTTGATTAATGTGCATGGTTTAAATTTTTCTTTAAACATTGTTTTATATTTGTCCACAATGCAAATTTTGTACTCTGTGATCTTGAGATATTATCACTACTTGCCATTTTGTACATCATAAAAGTTAAAGCTTATCTGCAAACTGACAGATTTCATAATGTATTTATCTAACAGATCATAGAAGAAAATACTAAAAACAGTTGGTTAGAATGAGGGAATTTTCATTTATCTACCTAGGGGGACACCTGCCTATCACTGCCTAGTTTATGTTACTTGACAGTAAGAATTTCTTTAGCTCCTTTGAAACTCCTTTGCATTTCATCCCCCCTCTTCTGGAAATGATGTA